CTCACATAGTATTAATCTACTGATGTCACCACAGAAATAAATATCCACAATCATGCACTTTTCGTGTTTTTGCAGTGTAGAAAGCGATAGCTTTTTCATTCATTATTGCTTCCTCCAGGACTACTTTCTCTATTTTCCTCTTATTTTAATCTTAGTCATGAGGACTACTTGAGAATGCATTGTGTACCACTGATGATCCTTGGGCCCTTATCACTAATGTAGACAAACTACCAGTTACATACATCTGGATGCTGATGGATGCTCACTGATATGAGCATTCTCCAAAGAAGCAGATTGCATTTCCCAGGAGTTTTCTAGAAAAATAGAGCTATTCTATTTATTCTATCTTTTTTCTTTATTTGATTCTATTGATTTCCGTTCAAATTTAATTTGTGGCATTATTGCTAAAATGATTTATGCTGCATTAGGAACACACTGGTATCTATTTTTTCCAGTCTTGGCTTGGAGCACATAACAATATCCTTCACTGAGAGATAGTTTTCACCCCACATTCTCTTTCTGCATTCAGAGGCTTAGGTGTGTATGTTGTTCTTTGTGGCTTTTAGCTAATAGTGTTTACAGAATTTTGCCTGTTCAGCATCTTATGCCATATATCAGTCTTTGAAAATAATTTTGGGTTGTAGTATTTTAGTTGGTGAGCAACACCAACATACCTGCTGCATGAAAACGTGTTTCACTGTTCGGTGAGGACAAAATTAAAAGCTGAAATAGGCAAGAAGAAACACACTAAGCAAGATTTCAGTAGTTGTATAGGTAGAAAAACTAGTTTTCTTCTTTGACAGACTACAGCAAACTACATCTGTGTTACTACTGGAAAGAAAGTGTCATTTTCATTCATGAAATTGACCTGAATCACTGAAAGGTGGAATGGCTAACAGATGATGACTTAGAGAAGATGTTAGTTTGTAGAAAGAACTTGTAACAGAATGTGTTTAATATGGATATATTGTGACAGGTGAAGTGCTTTGCTGCTGTTGGGGAAATCCAAATAAATCTTTATAGAGAAAGGTTGCTTATATGTCTCTTTGTGATATTACATGAAACCTGCAGTGTCCCTGCTCCTCTTGCCTAGAAAGAACCAGAATTCTCAACCAGGCTCCTTTTCCCCCCGGAAGCTTTATTATTCATCTGTCCCTTTAAGAGACTGAGACTCTGGTCTCACCTAAGGTGGCTGTTAACATTTGGTTGCAAAGTTAAGCTTCTTACAATGTTAGCTTCCTCATTTCACTACACTGAGTGAGACTTTTATTCTGTTAATCTGCTGGACTACAGCAAACAGCTCTGACTAGTTCTCTTGCATGTCAATAACCACACCCAAAACCTGTTACAGCTCTTGTACTTCCCTGTTAGCCATATCAATACTGTGTTAATTACTGATATTTACTGTATTATTATGTCATGTCCTCTCTGCAGTTTATTCATATTGTTTTGTTCATGAATATATTATCTGTTGATACGTACCTATTCTTTCCTCATTACCTGCCCTGTTCTGTGTATGTGACTAGAAACCTATAAAACACTCTGTATATGTTTTGGAAACTTGTAGTCCATGGGCATTCCTCTATCAGACAGTGCTGTTTGTCTCTGCAGAGAGGTTCCCTGGGTGCTCTCACCAATAAAACTTCTGAGGTTCATAACATAGAGGTCTGACCCCTTGTGGATCTGAGCATACATTTTCACAGGCTGCGAAACCAGGATTCACTGACACTATGAACTGGAGAAGTTGTTACAAAATGTCATAGGATAAGATGGTGTAATTCATTAGTAGTTTTTACTTTATATATCTATACTTGGATTAGGTTAATTTTAAATCACTTCTTTATTCTTACTCCACACTAGAAAATTTTAATTTTGTATATATTTAATGTTTCCTTTACTTGAGTTGTAAGTTTACCAGCTCTAGTTTGTATCTCATTTCTTATGCATAGTCTGGTATATTATACTGTACAGTCTGTAACATGGACCATTTAAAAAAATCACAAGAAAGAAAATTTCCTTAACATTTTTTGACCAAATTTTTTTGACCCCCCCCCCCCCCCGGCACACACACACTACAGGTAGCTTTTGACCCAGGTTCCTCTGACTGCTAGAGGAATTAGCAGGGGAAAAAACTTTCTTTTTAATACCTTTTTAATTATATAGTATGCATCCAAGGAAATCCCTTATTTTATTCACCTTGTGACACTTTATGTCTGAAAACCGAAACTGTCTCACTATTATTTTTGAGTATGTCTTATTCATTCATTCATTTCTTATTTAATTCATGTTCAAGGCAATCTTGGCAGTTAAAAAAGTTAAAAAGACAAGTTAAAAGTTCTATTCTTGTTCCTAGGTTCTCTCTGTGTGCATGGTTTTTAATTCACTTTTAGCCATATTATCTATATTAGCTTCTGCATTGACTCAGAATACCACTATGAGTGACTTCACTGAATGGCAAGTTATACGAGTCACCATGTTAAGGAAAGAGCCAATTCCTTTGATCCTTGCCAAGACGTTGTGAATAAGGATAAGTATCATACTACTTAGGAAAGATGTTCACATCTAAAATGATCCCAGTTCCCTTTTGTATCATACCATGAAAGGGCAGGAATAAAGTGGCTATATAGAAGGAAGTTATCTGTGTCATGGCTTTTTCCTCCTAAGGATTAGGGCTTCATTCCCGTATGAATGTTCTGATAGAAAATAGTATGAAATTTCTAATAATCTAACAATTTCTCTTGTACTTCTCTGCATGCAGACCATTGAAGCCTATTGAAACACGAAATGCGTTTCTAGTCTCAATCCTGTTCATGCTGTGGCGATGCACTCTCTTTTTATGACTTTGATCAATCGACCTTTCAGAGTTTAACCAGTGAATGTTTGTGAACTGGAGCCAGTGAAGATAGTTTTCAATATTTAATGTTGTTTTTCTTATAGCCAAGTTCTAAATACCTAACTCCTACTCAGCATATAATTATATTTTGCCATGTAATTTCCTACTCATGTATAGATAAATGGAACAGACACATTTTTTTTCTGTCAGGGTCTATATGTCTCTTAGGGCACAATTCTTTGAACTGTGTCCACACTGCTCAGAAGGACCCAAACATGGAGGCTTCTGAGATTTCTATACCTTGTTGGGCTGAAGCTAATGGGATCGGAGCACCACCATATGCCTCCTTAATCTTCTGGTCATTGTATTTTTGCTAGATGTACTTTCTGGCCATTTACTGAGGATGCCTTGGAGGAGGAAAGGAGGCTGGAGGAGACTCAGAATGAATTGAATCTTGTCCTTTCTGGTTTCTTCTGTTCCCCACTCACCTGTACACCCCCTTTTCTCCTTCTCAGAGGCTGGTTTTTCAGCTTCGGGAATGTAGCTGATGCTAAATTTGCACTTGCTATAGTTAATCAGGGTCAGATTGCTGAGTTTCCCTTTCAAGGTTGGAAACTCAGTTGGAAATTCAACTGTCTCTGAATTGAAAGACTTATTTTGTTTTAGCAATCCTATGGTTCTCAGTGTAAACTTCGGTAGACTCCAGGGGATGGTGGAGGACAGGAGAGCATGGAGGAATGTTGTCCATGGGGTAGTAATGGGTCGGACGCGACTTTGCTAAGCAACAACAATGGTTCTTAAGGATTATAGGTTGATTTTCAAGACAGAGTAGAATTATTCTCTTAACAGTTCCATGAGAAGCAGAAATTCAACAGGTATAGTATTATTTCCAGATTGGGAAATGATTCACTTGTTGAATTATTTCTGTCATACAACTGTTAAAAAAGCATGAATCATGCAAGGGGAGAAATATAGTACACCTGTTCATATGCATGGTCTTCTGTAAGTCTGTAGGTTGATCAGGCTTTGTATAACTATTGAAAAAGTGTATGTTCTCTGTCTTAATAGTGTGCAAATGTATTCAAATGGAAAATATTAAATCATTATTTTCATTAATCTGCATGTCTAAAATGGCATACTTGGGCATAAATTCATGAATAGAATTCATAGGATTTCTGTGTAAATGCAATTACCACATCTAGTTACCTTTATACTAGCATATTTCAGTAAAACAAACTATGTTGATTTGAGCTTGAGCTGATATGCACTTTGGTGTCATGAATTCCCCCTTCCTCCTCATATGTGAGGGGATATTTTAAATCTTTTATTTGTGATTCCTTGTAAGCCACAGTTTCTTATTTTGTAGGAACATGGACAACTATGGTTTTTGCAAGGTAGTTATTCCATGATAACACATCAGGAACTTGGTTTGATATCTTGGCTTAACTAACTATGGCTTTTAAAAGCCATACTTTCCTAAATTCTGGGAAAACTGGATTAGACCAAACTAGGAGTAATATCATTTACATGGTATCACTTGTGTCTGTAATAAACCATAAGCCACTGAGTCAGATTTTTGGCCCAACTAGTTTAGTACTGTCTTTTCTAATGGGGAACCCTGATATAGAAATATTCGCAAAATAATTTGCCCTTGTCCAAAGGTTTGCCCTTCTTTTTGTCGTGGCTCCCACCATTATTCAACAAAACTGCAGTGTTGACTGGAATTAGTTTCCTTAGTGCAAGGGTTGTTTACTTTTGAATAATTCTGGGTTCTTCTTGTTACAAGTAGAAACACAGACACTGAAAAATGCTAAGAATTCAGAAGATTCTTGTTTAGGGATTTTGTTTAACAATGCTCAGCACTACTATAATTATAGAGATGTTGTATTGTTTACTGTAAGCATAGCTTGTGGGGATAAATATAGATTAATAGTAGCTGAACTGTTATCCAACTGGGCATGTGTCCAGGAGAACAAAATATTGACAGACTCAGTTTTTTTAATAGTAACATTTTTAGCTTTGCTGTAATTTTTTTGTCCACAATTGAGAATTTAAATGAAGAATTTACTCTTTTAGTGCATTTTAGTTTGCATGCTTCAGTCTATACATTTTGGTATGATTAGGTAATTAGAATATTGTTTCAATACTGATTTTTTTCTGTTTCCAGGTTAGCACTATATGTATATGAATATTTGCTCCATGTAGGAGCACAGAAATCTGCGCAGACATTTTTGTCAGAGGTATGTTCCCTATCGTTTTTATAAGTTGCACAATGCAAGATTGTCAGATTTACAGATAATGAAAAGTAGTTAGCTTAGTCTTACAAATTGTAATTTGGGAGATTAATAACCACTACTTGTTCTACTTGCACCACCTCAGTGTATCCCTATCATTGATATGCACTCCTCTTAGTTTCCATTTACTTGGAGGAAAAGGGGGAAATCACACACATTCAGCATCCACAACATTATTTTTGTTTAACTGTGCACCATGCCTCTTTACTTGGCATTGAATCAATGTCAGGTTTCCTGGAGGCATATTTTACTTGCCACATAATTGATTTGATTAATTAATTAATTAATTAATTAATTAATATACTCCCCAGAAGCCAAAGCTGACTGGGTGGAGAACAACAGTAATACATACAATAAAATGTAATACCAGGTAGAACAATAATGAAACACCCTAAAATTACATTCAACATTTAAATCACATTTTGCAACTAAACAGCTAAAACCAGTTCATACTGCTAAAAAAGAGCAGGCAATACCCCTCCCCATGTGCTATTTTGACTTGGGAGATGCCTCAGTAAAGAGGCAGTCTTAATGTGGCACTGAAAAGATGGTAAAGTTGGTGCCAGGTGGACCTCAGTAGGGATATCATTCCACTATTTGAGGTCCACCACAGAGAAGGCCCTCCTTGTTGCGAACCATCTGAGCTTCCCTTGGAGGTGGCATTCAGAAGATGCCTCAGATGTTGAGTGTAATGTCCAGTTACTTTGCAGTTAGAAGGGCTGTTATATCAGGTATTGTGGTTCCAAGCCATGTAGGACTTCATAGGTTCAAACTAGCACCCTGTATTGGGTTCAGAAGCATATAGGCATCCAAGACAAGAGGGCCCAAACTGAAGTTACATGTTTGGGCCATTTGGTCCCAGTTATTAGTCTGGCTGTTGCTTTTTGATCAAGTTGCAACTTCCAAACTGTCACTAAGGGCAGCTCCATATAGAGGGCATTGCAATATTTGGTTTAGAGATTACCAAAGTATGCATTACTGAAACCAGGCTATGGGGCATAGCTAGGCCACCAAACAACACTGACTAGGTAAATTCTTTGATTGAAGGCAAACAACAAAGAATAATCCAGGCATTCTTTAATCACATGCAAAATATATGGAGGTGAAACCCCAGAGTTATCTTCAACTCCTTGCTTAGTAACATAGTCCTTTCAGTGTTGAGATGAATGACTGTCAGGTAGATAGCTTTGGTATATCTGTAAAAGTTCATAAAATCCATGAAAACCAAATGCACAGGTATCAACATGTTAGGTTCTATAGTTATGTAATTCTATACTGGTGTAATGTTGTCCATTTAATTATATGTGTATTTTTCCCTTTTGACCATCCTTCTTAAACAAACAAGCCTATTTACCTGGTTCATATATAACACTAACCAATGCTTTTTAAATCCATAATTGTTTAATTCTGTGTTGTGATGTGCAAACCCAGCTGTGCCTAAAAAATATAGTTTGTTAAGCGTGAGCAACCTGGAAAGAAATTTGTTGTTGAGCTGTGAACTCTGGGTTGTTTAAATCATGGGTTAGCATTTTGTGTAAACCTAGAATCATGTTGTAGACATGTTGCCATAATATAAAGCTACAGAAGAGGCAAGCAAGAGTGGTAAAAAGCAAAACAAAAAAGGTCTCTTCGTATGTCAGTACTTTAGTATTGTAAAGGCATTTGAGATATAAGGAAGGAGTGGATGAAGGAGGAAAGAAATAAACAACCCAGACAAGCAAGAACAAACCATCTGTTCGTTTGTAAGACTAAGCTGAGGTAGGGCAATAAACTATGGGTTACATAAACAGTGGGTTAGTGTCATATGTGAATCAGGTCAAAGTTTGATGTCTCTAAATTTACTCTTCTTCCTAGAAGAACTAATATTACTGGTAGTTGAAAATGGCAGAGCTTTTGTTGGTGTCTGTCTTCATACCTTTTAGTAGAATCTCAGAAGACTCTCCATAGTAGCTAAGGCTATCAACTGGTTAGTAATCTTTATATTGATTGGTTAAATGCTATTGTTATAAAAATATATAGAAGTGTTTTTGAGGATAATGGTGGAGACATGATATTTTTATGAGTTAAAAGTTAGGCCGTGTCTTTAATATTTTCATTTTATATAATGGGATAGAATACAGAATGTTACAGTACACAGCCAAAATGAGTTCAATAGAGAAATAAGCCCCAAACTCACTAGTACTGTGAAAGTAACATGTTAGGCTGGCCCTACTGCTAGACAGAACTTCAGGCAGCAGAACTGAAGGGCAGAAGTGATGGAAAGATGTTGGAGGACAAAGCTGTATGTGGCGTGTGGCCCTAGACCCTCCAAGAAGGCACACCTGCTGCTTTCAGGAGTAATGGTAAACACTGACATGTTGCCTGTGCTTGAACATTCACCTGATAGTCCATTCAACTTCTGGAGATAGGGGTAGCACCATCTTGTCTTCCACTTCAAACAGCAAAATTTCTTAAATCGGCCTTGGGATTAAAGGACACAGAATGGCATTGATTTTAGTTTGGTGCTTTAACTTTTGCACATGGAGCTTTTTGCTAAAAAGACAAAATAGATGATTTGGCTTCAAGACAGAAGAGAGCCAACTCTTTAATCAACTTTTGGCACAGTAAGAAGGAAGATGGCCTTGCTGATTAATTTGGGAGCTTGGCTGAGATTTAGATTTCAGTTCAAGTTTTAATGCCCCAGGCCAATTTCTGTTTGAAAAATGTCCTTTATTTACCAGCATTCTCCAGCCAGTAAAGAACTGCACCCAGTATGGAATGAAGACAATAGGTAGAGATTTTTGAGGCGTTTTCTCCTTATTCTAGAATCTAAGAAGTACAAATCAGGCAAAACCAAAGACTTCTTTTTACAGTGCATAAGAAAGGCATCTCTAGTCCTCCTACAGTGACCAAGATGCCTGTGGAAAACCCACAAGTAAGGTATCAATGCAATGCAGTAGCATTATAGCACTATAATTATCCTATGGAATCCACTGCTGTATGATGTCATGATGGACCCTGGATTTTTTAAAGGATAATTTTAAGGAATGAATAAGTGTGTATCTACCCTGGCTAAGGAAAGTTTCCATGTTTAGAGGCAGTATCTCTCTGATGCTGAGAATACACAGGAGAGGACAGCTGCTATGCTACTCTTAGCAAGACACTGCTGGACTAGATGATTCTTTTGGTCTGATCCAGGAGAGCTCTTCCTATGTCTTTGTGATTCAGATTAACTTAAGTAGTAGCAGCCACAAGAAATGTTTAAATATGTCATGAATTCTATGTTGGCACGGGGGGAATTAAAAAAAAATTGGCCTATATGAAAAAAGTTTAATCACTATTTTTGCTTGTTTTAGATAAGATGGGAAAAAAACATCACATTGGGCGAACCTCCAGGATTCTTACATTCCTGGTGGTGGTAAGTGTTTCATCTGTACAAAGATTAAATTGTGTTTTGTTGTGTTTTTAATAAACTGTTAACTCAGTATATTGAGGGGGGTATATGTAGCCTCTAAAGTCCATCAGCCCTAACCAGTGTAGCAATGATGAGGAATCATTGGAATTACAAGCTAAAACATCTGGACTGCCACCAGTTACCCACCTCTGCTGTACATTATTTGTTTTTTGTCAAATGTAACTGGATTCTGTTGCCACTTTAATAAAAAAGGATTTAGACAAGATTTAAAGGTGAATTGAAACTGGTTTTCTAATGAAAGCAGATTTTTAATTTCTTTGATTTCTTTTTAGGAAGAGCTGATATTAAAGTTTTCCATATATGTGAATAAATACAACATTATGTTAGCAGATGTCTCCTTGTTCTCTGCTTCCTCACCTCCCAATTCTGCCCCAGTGGGTTTCCCAACCCACTAAGGCAGGTAGGGAGTTGGGTGATAGCTGGAAGGTAGGAGAAATTCATTTTGCCAATGGTTTCCATACTGCTGGCAGGCAGCAAACACTGGATACAACCTAAGGTATATTTCTCTCTAGGTTTTCACCCACAGAGCTAGAAAATACTGAAAAAAGGAACTAGTGTCCATTTTAGGTTCTACAGGAAAAGCATGCCAATAGATTCTCAGATTCAATGTATTTTTATTTCATGTTAAACAAAAAACAAAACAAATAGCCCATTTCACTAGTTGTAGATGAGTATACCAACATACAAGGACTTCATTGTGCACAGGAACGTAGCACTAACTTCAGCATGGGGAAGTGGGGGCTGTGTATACAGTCTTTCCCTGGGACAGTTGCCATTGATGTAAATTAGGAAGCCATATGCAGGAGCACAGTGTATGTGTTAGAACACCTATGATCGCAACTGTATAATCTGGACTCTGAAGTTGAGGGCATGTCCAAATTATTATGAAACTGGCCATTTAGTAGGGGCTTGACCTAAACACTTACTTGTTTGTTTTGAAGTTGGCTTTTGTTTTTGCCTAAGAGAGGCTTTAAAACCATATGTATTTTTAAGATGTGCACTTAATTTGCATAGATCTCTACTTTTTTTTTTTTAATAACCCAAGGTTCCATCCGTTTATATCCATGCCACTACTGGTCTCTTGTCATTTTGTGTGCCTTATATGGGAGAATAAATATTGCATCCTGGAATCTGAGGCTGTAAAATTGTTCATTAGCTTTTCAAACTATTTCAAGCGCTTCCTGATGCTGTTTTTAGACATGCATTGCCCATTTAAACAGTGTTAAACAGCAAAGGTTGGAATTTGCTTTTAGAATGGCTCCTTTTAACAGAATTAAACTTTGGTTGTGTTTAGATTTGTATCAGTCTCAACAATTATTGAATCTTTGTTTAAATGATATGACATAAAACTTAGATTCTTCATATAGCACAACAAAATAGGTAGGTGGTCTTTAATATTTGAAGTAAAAAACTAACTTTCATTGCTCTTATATTTGCATAACTCTTAACAGTCTGTAATGCAAAAGTGCACACTTTTTTTTTAAAGGATGAAGGATGGTAATTGGTGTTGTGATTACCATAGTAATAGTTTAGGGATCATACACTGGAAGTCAACATAAATTGAAAGTTACAATGTCCTTTTTTCATCTTTAGTGTATTTTGGGATCTCTACTGTGCAGCTCCAGAAAGACGTGAAACATGTGAACATTCAAGTGAAGCTAAAGCCTTTCATGACTATGTAAGTTTTATGCTTATTGTCTGTTGGCTTTGTTCACAGGTAGTACTAGCTAAGCACTTGGTACTTTTCCAGTGTTCAGAAAAGGTTCCTGCTGCCAAGTTCTTACAATCCTGTGATAAATAGTGGAAAGGAAACTAACATTAACCTTGTATTCAGTGAAAGAGTTCACTTTATGTGGGTTAGCAAGGGTTCATCCTTAAGAGACTTCAAGGTAACAGCCCTGTAGATAAGGCCATAGAGGTCATATTTTCCTAGATTGAATATGTGTGGCATTAGTAAAGAGTGGGAAGCAGGATGTGGAGAAGGAGAGGAAATATAAGGAGGAACAGACTTGTTTAAGTCTATAAATAATTATCTACCACTATTGTTGACTGACTAACAAGAAACAATAGTTTGGGATAACCAAGCCAAAGGCAATAGAGTAAAAAACCATCAGCCTACTTATGTAAGTGTTTAGAAATTGATTGGAAGCTGATAGATAGAGATATGAAACTGATAAAGAGTCTTATGGGACTAGTAGTGTGGAATACAAGTTTAATAAATTAATAGTAACTGGCATTCAGACTAATAGAAACTGGGGCGGGGAAACAACTTTGCACAACTTGCGTCAGTTAAGAGGACTTCAGTACAAGAAATTCTCAATAATGTCGCCTGGTTTTAGTAAAAGTCAGTTGGGAGATGGCTATTTGTTAGGCTTAGTGGTGTTCTCTAACACATTGTTAAAGAAAAATGATAATTTCTGTGTGTGATTGATAGGAATGGTTGTAATTACGTTCATCCTTAAAATGGCAGTTATGTTACTGAAAGTGGTTTCAGTAGTGATACTCTGTGGAAAGTCTAAATACTGATTTCACATATTTGGTTACACAGTAAAACTTGGAGTAAAAGAGTTGGTTAAATGTGTGAAATACAGCACCATTTATACAGCTAATTTCCCCATACTGTGTTATCTCTGTGATTTCCCCTGGCCATCCTATATTAATGCTAATTGCATGGTATTATCTTCTGAAGGGGTCTACAGTTGGCTGTCTTGGAAAAAAGAATCCATGTTTTCTTGAAAAGGCTGTGACAGGTTGTTTGGGTCTACCCTCAGCTATGTTGGGAGTACTGAGCTGTGATACATTATGTGGTTTCCATATTCTACTTGAATGCTTACTAAGACACTTTGCTGTCTTTAAATACAAAAAGTAAAAAAAAGAATTGAATTTAAGGCTATTGGTATTGAGAACATATATGATAGAACTAGTCAGCTTGCATTATGCTCTACTATTCCAGGATTGGTTTGTTTCCCTATTTATGAGCCTGATTTTAATTACTAAATTCTTTCTAACTTGCAACGATATGTAGACACAATCTAGCCAAAGTTAAGCACTTTTAAAAGCCTTCTTAGAGGAATTTCCAGGTCCATGTAAGTAATAAGAATATATTGGGAACTTCCTAACTGGAAGGAATGGAATTTGCTAACGTTTGCTCTCATGAATGTACCTGGCAGACTATATAGAAATCTTTATATTTAGTAGCATAACAAGTGCTGGAATAAGTAAATAGCATTAATTCTGACTTATAATCAAATAATGAAGAGTTTGTGCTGAAAACTTATTATATTGTTAGAAAATAACAAATGGCTGTCCTGGTGCCAGCAGAAACCCAGAAGCTATATATGCTGCATGTTTCTCTGTTACAGCATTCAGCGTCCTATTGCATTTAGATCTACACTTTTCTTAGGTGGAAAATATCTAGGAAAAAAATTAAAATATGAATCGTTGTTGACTTCTTAGTTCCAGTCAAACATGTGCTAACATATCATTGAGTGATGCAATCTTGTGCATATTAATGAGAAATCTCTAATCTGTGTGCCACCTTTCCTAGGCAGTACGAAGTTTATATAAAACAGAGTTTTATACAAAACAGAGTGAGTTTATAGAAGAGAAAGGATTGGAGTCTTCTGCAGTAATCTAGCTGACAAACTTTATAAATTACAGTTTGAGAAGATGTACGGGAGTGCAGAAGTAACCATTCAGCCACTGCCATTTTCACAGCATATGAGTTAGGCTCATATGAACTATCCAGTTAAACTGTACAGTAAAATACAAATTGCTTCTTTTAAAGGGCTCCGTCCTTTCTTTTTATATTCTGAGGCTTCTTAAGACAAATAGATCTTGCCTAAGCATTAATCTGACTTCTGTAACCCAGCTATACAAACAAAAAGAACAAGCAATGTCTCTGCCATGCTTGTGATAACAGTTTGCCTATAACAATATGGTGAGTTTAGAGCACTCTGTGGCAACCTAATCCTTAGTGATTACTGTGTTGATATTATATTTCTTGGCTTATTGCTTGGTACTGTTTTATAGGAATTTTGTATACCCCAGTATTATATTTTTCAAGGGAAGTGATAGATTTGACTCTCCACTGATCGATCATCTATAACACACCATGGAAGAGAGGTGCAGTGTGGGATTAAATCCTATACCTCAACACAAAATGTACTGGCTGCTGTTAGGATTGTTGTTAATTGGGTGAGACACTAATGTCACTTGTTCTGTATCATTGGCAGAACAATTTCTGTGATCTTGTATAGTCATTTCAAATGTGAGTGATAAATTAATGCAGAATTTGTATAAACTGTTTGCTAAAGCATATTTTGTAATTGTCTTAACAATATATATTTTGCAGTTTTGAGCTGGTTGCCTACAATAGAAAAAAGGAAAAAAATTCCATGAACGTTTATGGAATTTTAATTCAAAGTGGATTAGATCTTTTTGTTTTTATTTTTAGTACTTTAGAAGATGCACTAGTTTATAAAATTACAACATCTAATGTAAAATAGGAATAGAGCATATGAAAATTTGTTTAACTTTTGATATTTTTCCCAAGACAATGAAAATGTGTTAGTTGACCCTTCTTTACATTTTTAACAGTTTGTCAAGAATTGTGGGTTGTTTCATTTAATGAAATGGGGCAATGTAGCAAAATGGACCAATTGCAATAATGAAGCAGTTTTATAATTTAGATTAAAGGTTTGTTTGCTGTATTTTTCAGGGAATCTAGATGAAAAAGAAAATTGAACTGCTGTTGGGAAAAACCACTACATTTTCTCAATGAAAGAAAAATGGAAAGCAATACACTTAAACATGCCAATGTTGGATAGTTAAGGATGTACTTAATTCATTTTTACCCTTGGTATCAGTGGGGCTTGAAGGATTATGCCTAAGGTTTGGAGAAATTGTTTATTCTGGATGTTCACTTGATGACATCTTGTTTATAAGGTAACTTTCTGTATTAATACTAATAATTTAAAAGAGTGTGTTAGGTTGTTAGATTCACCAGTTGGCATATACATGCTGGGGTTTATTTTATCCAGTACAGGAGTATTCTAAAACTGTCATTCATATTCTTACCTGTGGTTCACTGGGTGCACCTTTCATATATTTGTGCATTTGATACTTCCTTACTTTCTGGGTTTTTTTAAAAACTCATTTCTTCATATGATGTCAGTGTGAACGTCCTGAATAAATTACCCGCTGTTACATTTATTATATAATAGTGTTAATCATGGGAAATTAAAAATCTGCACCTACTCAGATATTAGCATTAAATATAGAAAAATATGATTATATTTGATAAAAGTAAGTCAGTATGTTCCTGAAACAAGCTGCATCCTTTTACAAGTAATCTTTCTATTTCAATAAGTTGGACTACATGTGAGCCAATTCTGTTTAGTATGCCTGCGCCCCCCCCGCGTGTGTGTGTGTGTGTGTGTGTGTGTGTGTGTGTGAGAGAGAGAGAGAGAGAGAGAGAGAGAGAGAGAGAGAGAGAGAGAGAGAGAGAGAGAATCTGCACCAAGATATTGGGCGGTTAGTGTTCCACATAATCATCATTATTTGTTTGCCCAGTTCAAGCAGGCTTTGCACTGATGTTTGTAGCTCTCAGGAAGTTGTTACATCAACAATGATAAGGTGCAAACTTCTTAGTGGCTGAAGACTCCACCCTTTCATGTGCTTTCCCTCTTCCCAAATTAAGGGAAGTTAAAGGTTAGGATTAGCTGGGCACTTCACTTGCAATCCAGAAGCTCCTTCCTGGAATGCAAACTCCTCTGTTTTTACATTCCTAGAGTATAAAGAAGGGATCTGAGATTCGGTCTGGAATACAAATGATTGGCATAACTGTGTCCTGTGACTGCCATGTCTGGGTATGGAAATTTCCCAGGGTCATTCAGAGTGCAAGAAGTCTGCTGTGATTTCTTCTTGCTCAGCCTCTGAGGAAATTCCAAGTTCCAGGTCTGGGCATAGCTGATCTCTGAAAACTAATCATATACTTTATATTTAAAGAATTCAAATTCAAAGGTTCAAATTTCATAAACTGAAGAATTACAGATGTAGTGTCTCCTACTTGAAAGCAGAGCTACTTCTGTGGATGATATATGAAACTGACAGGACTTGAATGACATGAACATCCATGATAAGTTAGTTGTTTGCCATCACAGGACAGTCCTTAATTTATTGCAAAATTACATAGTTTCTTCTTCAAGACTTTCATTCTAGGAATGTTTTTTTCACATTAGTATAAAATTAGAACGTGTGAGTTCTATTCTGTCCCTATTTTTCCTCAAGAGAATTCCCCACCTTTCCTTCTCTGGAATCCATTTTTACTGCTTTATGTAAAAGCATACATAATTATGTTTTTTTTACCAAGTTTTGAACTTATAAAGTAACTCTGGAGCAATGTGAGTTTTATAATAATGTGATATTTAGTTGCATGTTATTGAATATTGGACATTTACTTCAGATAACCAAAAGTGGATTTTTTGTTGAAGGACTGAGATGCATTCTGTTCTGCTCATCAGTAATAATCACAGAATCCTTTTAATTTGCACCAGTCTTTATATCTCAGGGTTCTCGTAAAAAAGAAGAGAGGTTCCTGCAAGTTCCTCTGCTTTTACTAGCCATAATGGAATGTTACAGAAAAATAAGATTTGTAATGTGCTCCAGTTTTTTTTA